TCTGAGATTTTACAGGTATCTAATATTTATTTATGTAAAATTTATTTCTGTTGTAGAAAGAGAATATATTCCTTATGATGTTTATTTTTATCCGCTGAGACATGTTTTATTGGACCAGCATATGGTCTTGCTGAATACAGCATATATAATTGCAAAGAAATATGTTCATATAACAACTGGCCCTCCATAACTAGGGATTCCACATCTGTGGATTCAACTCATCATGAATTGAAAATATTCTTTAAAAGATGTTAGGTTGTTGCTGGCTTCTAACATGTAGTTAGGTCTACAAGGGTTGTACCTGTACTGAACATTTTCAGATTTACTTTTCTTGTCATTATTCCCTAAACAATACTGTGTAACAACTACTTCCACAGCATTTATATTCTATCAGGTATTATAAGTAATCTGGAAATGATTTAAAGTATACAAGAGGATGTGTGTAAGTTATATGAAAATACTATTTTATTTGATAGAAAGGGCTTGAGCATCTGCAGATTTTGGTATCCATTGAGGACCCTGGAACCAATCCCTGGCAGACACCTAGGGATGACTGCATTATGAGTGCACTATTCTATAAATGCCAATTAGGTCAAGCTGGCTAATAGTATTGTCTAAATTACCTATGTATTTACTCACTGTCTTTGTCTACTTGCTCAGTCAATTGCTAAGGATCATTATCAATAAATACCTATTAAATTTAAATACACAAAGTAACATTTTGGAAGACAAGCATTCAAACCACAAAGAAAATCAAAATTCTGAGCTATTCCACTTAATACAGAACATGTCATCATGTAATGCTAACACAAACTATCACAAGTGTTGTGGCTATCCCACAAAGTTATATCACCTACCTTAAAAAATTAAATTAAGAAATGAGTATGCTCTGGAAAAAAAAAATAGGTGATCATTTAAGCCTGTAAAAGTGGTTAGCAAACGATTTTATGTTAATAAGTATTTATTAAATAGTTTTAAAATTAATAGCAGAAAGAGAAAATAAATAGATTGTAATGTGTAATTTCCAAAGATCGTTCTTCCTTTTTCCATTTCCAGTGACCTTGTGGTTTTGGCAGAAAGTCAGAAGGCAGGCTGCCAATATCAATTCACACTTGAGCAAAACTTTTGCCAATTAAAACTGAAACACCTGTCTGGATTAACAAAATTGTTCTCATTTTCAACAATGAGAGGAAATTAAAAGCATTACTGAATGTAACTGACTTGGCTCATCTGAAAGGAAATAACGTAGATAACAGCTAATTTTAAATTATCAAGTCAATACGACATAAAGGCTCTCTAAAGCAGATTGGGTTATTTTTACTATGACTCATTCAGTTTTCCTGAAACGTGCCGATATAGCTCAGGAATAACACTACATAATGGCAACTTAAAAAAATAAAGCATTCCTTTTAAGAAAGCTTCTGACACTGCTGAATTAAAACATTTTCCCAACACATTTCACATATATTTCAACATGCTGCACCAACATGAAAACATTGGCAAATCTTCTCCAAAAAAGAGATTACATTGTAGTAAACTTCAGGACAGTTCATTAAAACTGAATGACCAATAAGCCATTCATTTGTTTTTTCAATAAATATTTACCAAATGTCCAATAACCATGTCCTGTCACTCCAATGTTTACAAAAGTGTCTGGTGGGAGTATTAAGACTTGTGCTGTACTTGCTCTTCTATCAGCAAAGGAAGACACCTCATAATCTCAGTAGTTCACAAGCCCCGTCCCAGGCCTCCAACGCTGCTATAGAGCAGGATAATGGCTGCCCAGCAAGAAAGGGATGCTACTTCTTTCCTCTCTGTCCCCGTCTCTTCCACATCTATGGCCGATTCCAAACAGGTCTTACCCCCTTAAAAATCCTATTCCTTTAGTCTGGCCTGTGTGGCTCAGCTGGTTGGGCATCATCCCATGCACCAAAAGGTCGCCAGTTCCATTCCCTGTCAGGGTACATGCCTGGGTTTCAGGCTCCCCCAACCTGAATTTCATTCATTCTCTTACTCTGCATACATTTATTTAGTAACAACTATGAGTAAAGCCTTGAAGCATTGTACTGGGCCTTGTAGAAGACCCAGAGAAGAAGAGAAACTAGTCACAAAAACTGGGAATGTACAGTCTTATGGGGAAGATAGAACATATACATAAGTAATTATAATGTAAGCCCAAAGATAATACTTGCTCAAAGAGAAGCATAGACAAAAGTTCAAGAGTTCAGAAGTGGGGTAGCATCTAAAAGAGTACCCTCTTACCTCAAATACTCTTTTGAAGTTATAAGTAATAGATTATAAATAAAATATACTTATATAAGGATATAAAGTTATATAAGATATCAATGTCAATGGAACTCTTCATTAATACCAGGAGCCACTTCTAATTCACTATTATCCAGTTCAGTATCATGTACAAAGCCAGGATAAAAGGAAGTACTGATAGATGAAGGAAGAGTTGACAAGGGCTGATTTGGGTTTTTCTGCTGTATTCTGTGCACTTTCTTTGGGATTAAAAAAAAAAATGAGGCGCTAGAGCCCAAAGTATGCATAGGGCCTAAAAGCCCTCCTCACACATTAGTTCCTTGCCCTACTTCTTACCAATTAAAGATTTACCTGGATTCACACGCCCATCTCTTTAGGCCTAGCACTAGGTAGCCCTGTGATCAAACAGCTTTCCTCCAAAAGGAAATCAGTCCTTGAGTCAGTTCTGATTTGAAAATGAACCGGAGGAGGAGAGAGAGAGCAAAAAATGTGTGTGTGGCCCTAACTGGTTTGGCTCAGGGAATAGAGCATCGGCCTGCGGACTGAAAGGTCCCCGGTTTGATTCCAGTCAAGGGCGTGTACCTTGGTTGCAGGCACATCCCCTGTGGGAGGTGTGCAGGAGGCAGCTGATCGATGTTTCTAATTCTCTATCTCTCTCCCTTTCTCTCTTAAAAAATCAATAAAATATATATTTTTTAAGTGTGTGTGTGTTACAAAACCCTGAGGGAATAGTATAAAACTTTAATTGAGGATCTTGACCTTCACTGCAAGCCAGGAAGAATGAGTTAATGAGCATCAAAAGTTCTCTTCAGAAGCACCTCACAATTTAGAGGAACAACAATGGGAAAAGAAATAAAATATTACAATAATAGAGAATCACAGAAGTAGAAAAAGGTTTAAAAGAGAAGAAATATACTCGCACCCACAAGAAAAGCTAAAAAGAAAATTAAATATCTGAATGAAAATAGAGTATTTTAATGTCTGTTCAGGATAACGATGGATGATATATGTTCCACAATAAACTGCTTATGAGACCAGACCCGAGAGGATGTTGCTACTGACCACCCTCCCCCACGAGAAGCCAGCAGGAACACTTTCTATCATGTGCTACATCCTGTTTACCTCGGACATCAGAAGAAACCCAAGAGTCCTACTCATCATTGATCACCCCGACACTGTCTCCCTCCAGCTCTGTACTGCCTTACACCGACGCAAGCTCAGCACCATTCCAGAGCCCCGCACCCTGCCCTGGCCTCACTTCATGCTGACGTGAGTTCAGCAGCATCTTCCCAGTGAGACCTTCCCCACCACTTGTCTAACACTACCGTCCAGGGCCCATTTTTATCCCCTTACCCTGCTTTATATTTCTCCTGCACACTTCTATTAAGTATGTATTTCTCTCTGTCTACTATGTATTTCCCTCACAATAATGTAAATGGATGTCAAACTTCTAGAGGGAAAAGACTGTGCACTGCTGAATCCCTGATGACCACACAAGACCTAGTACATGTTAAGTTTTCAATAGATACCAGCTGCATAAATAGATGGGAAGTGCATAATAATTTTAATGTATCTTTTTAAAAATGTCTGTAACACTTTACTTGTCAAATTCCTGAGAGCATATGTAACAAGTAAATAAGGAGATTTTTACATAGTAATCTAAACACAGACATGCCATAATGATAAACACCAAAGATTTCTAATAAGTGGGAAAATAAAAAGGGCATCCGAGGACTCGAGGATTAATATCCAACCAGTTCCAAAGCAATCTTAGAGAACAGTTACTTGCAAAATTTATATTACAGTACAAAGAAAGTGAACTTTTCTTTCTACCAGATAAGAGCATCATTTTTGCCTTATCTAAAAAATAACTAAAGGAATAAAACATTAGCATTCTAGCATGACTCCCAACCATGATATTAAAATGTCTGTGAAAAAGAAGTGAAGTATCTTAAGCAGCTTGTGTTCATTAAAGATGTGCCTATCTTCTTTCTCTCCCTAAAGCCAAAGAGATACTGAGTGACCCTTCATCTGTGATCTTTCTCTTCTGGAAAAGCCTTCTTGGACCTCAAATCCTCAAACATCTATTACTCTTTCCTTTTCCCTGCCATTTTCTCCAACTGTGGTCTTTATCGACTTTATTTTCTCATACCCCATCTCCTCCTTAATTCTCTAGAATGACTACCCAGATAGTCCACTGAAACTGTCCTTAGAGATAAGCAATGCACTCCAATTATCAAAGCCCACAGTCTTTTCTCCTGACCGCTCCATGCTGTCGAATGCTGCCAAGCATCCCTCATGCTCTTGACCATCACCTCCATCCCCAGCCTCTATAGCACATGCTGTCCTAGTTTGGCTCCTAGTTCCCTGAAATCCTCTACTCATCACACCCAGGTAGGCATCACACCTGGCTTTTACAACAGAGCTGTACACCAGATAGGCTCTGGAGTGAAGATTCAAACTTCTGCTCTGTCACTTCATTCATTAAACACTGAGCACCTATTTCAATATTTATTGAGCACCTATTCTGTGATGCTCTGGGAATAAAAATGAACAAGAAATATTCGGTCACTGCTCTCAGAGCCATTTTAGTTTGGAAACTAAAATGATGAGTTTTTGTTTCCTTAATTTCCTTAAGTGGCAGTGTCCCAAGGTGAGCAATTTGAGGCAAGAATATATCTGAGGCAAAACAATCTATAAGAGAAGAAAATGGAAAGAAGGAAGACATTACTCACCGATGTAAATGCCAGTAACTCCTCTTCAGTTAACTTATGCACTGGGTTATTCTTTTGCATATTTGTGCTTTAAATTAAAAAATGATAAATTACTCCTAAAATGCATGTTATGTCTAATGAAATATAATTTTTGAAAGACAAAATAAACTTATTTCATATATTTGAAAGCACATATTTTAATATTACTACATTACATACAAATGTAGATATGAGTTTGCCAAAGATAAGTACAGAAAGTAGTAAAATACTGACAAAAATGTGCTTAGTGTACTAAATGTCAACCTAATTTATTTTACTAGGAAAAAAAGAAACTCGGGGAATGTCTACAAGATAAGTGGCTTTTAAGTTTCAAAAGTGTTAATATCATAAAAGCCACGCAAAACTGAGCAACTGTTCCAGATTGACCGAAACTAAGGAGATAACAGCTAACGGCAGCGCATAGATAGACAGGCTCCTATCTATGCCCCAGAGAAGGTACCTGGGACTCTGGCAAACTTGAATGGAATCTGAGTATTAAAGGAGAGAAGTATGAATGTTATTTTCCTGGTTTTGAGAACTTTATTGTGTGACAATGTACAAAAGTACACTTGCTTGCAGGGATCACACACTAAAGTACTCTAAGTGATGAGAGCATCATGTTGGAAGATGATTCTCTTAAATTCTTTGCAATGCTTTGCCCTGGAAACTTTTTTCCAAATGTGAAGTTACTTCAAAATAGAAAAACTATAACAATAAAAGTAAAAACTATTTCCACCACACATAAGGTTCTACACAGTATTCAAAAATAAGTCTACCTTTTGAGATATAAATATCCCCAAAGTTCAAAATACTCATTCTCACCTATGCTAAATATTTTATTAAGAGTCTATTTCTAGCTAAAGCTAACCAAAGAAATGTTGCTTATGAAGGGAGGAGAAGGAGGAGAATACCAACTCCCAGGAGATTCCTGAGGTCTCTAACTTCTAACCTTTTGATTGGTTACCAAACTATTCTGGGTCGTGAGCAGCATTACAGATTCCCTCTTCACCCAGAACCCTTGGGACCTCCTGAATAAAGATTCCCCAACACAAAAGAACCCACATGCCAGGTGCTCAATGTAGCCAAGAAAGTCGTTAACTTACCAGATTCCAAGGATAACAGCCAGCTCTTCAGCACACAGGCTGGGCATCTGATACTGTTCACAATCTGCTAACTTTATCTCATTTAGAACAGTATCATCATTCAGCTCAAGATTCTGGTGGAATACAAAAGAAAATATTTAGACCAAAAATTAAATTTAATTCATTCAACAGACTGTATGCAATTGATTGCTAGGGAAGGATAAAATAGCTTGTTTAAAATTATACAATGTCTACCTATGGTTAATAGGCTTTCTCTTGAAACACTTATTTGAGGACAACTTACTGTGTAGAAATAGAGGACAGGCCACCTATGCCTCAGGAATACATTGACAATATCAATAGAGAACAACAGTTATCAGTGCTTGAGCCTCCTGTCATATCTTCTGGCCAGTTGCTTAGCCTTTTAAATATATATAAGATATATTTGTCAAATCCCATAATTTTTATTATGTCATTAATATTTCAAAATACTTGTTTTTTTAATTAATTATCAAAATAGTAAAATAACAATGTGATTCAGACATTCAGAAGAACGGCAAAAATTACCAAGCATTGGTAGGATGTAGAGAAACTGGTGCCTTGAAAATTGGAGGGTGGGAATATAAAATACCATTTTGGAAAGCAATTTGGCAGTTTTTCACTAAGTTAAAAATATACTTACTACATAATCCAGTCATTCCAATCCTAGATATTTACATGAGAATTAAAAAGATAAGTTTACACAAAGACTTACACACAAATCTTCCAAGCAGTTTTATTCCTTATAGCCAAAAACTATCGAATAGAAACAGCTCAATGGTCCACCAACAGGGGAATGGATAAGCACACTGTTGTATTAACTGAGCAATAAACAGGAGCTAACCATTGCTATCAAAATATCAATGACTCTCAAACATTATACTAAGTGAAAGAAACCAGACACAAGAGCCATACTGAATGATTCTATTTATTTGAAATTCTAGAAAAACAGCTCCTGTCTGTGACAGAAAACAGATCAGTGAGAGGGAGAGGATTTTAGGAATATGTGTGTAGTTTTCTGGAATGATGGAAATGGTTCTATATTTTGATTACAGTGGCGGTTACATGTGTCTCTATCAGAACTCACCAAAACTATACATTTAAAATAGGTATTTTATATATATATATATATATATATATATATATATATATATATTAATCTTAAGTAAATATTTCCTCAACAAGTTTGATTCAAATTGTTTTTCTAATCCTATATAATAAAAGGCTGATATGCAAATAGACCAAATAGCAGAATAACCAAATAACCGATCCCTATGATGTGCACTGACCACCAGGGAGCATGTGCAGAACATGGCAGGCATTGACCACAGAAGGATAGTGGAGCAGGTGAGTGGGGCACCAGTCCAAGATGGGGTGCAGGTCGCTGTCATCAGAGCGAGGCTCTGGTGGTTACTGAAAATTCTTTGCTCCCACATGCTGCGGTCCAGCCCAGCATTCGCACCTGCTGCTGGTTCCAACCCCACTTGCACCCACTGCTGGTGCTGGAGGTGCCGCTTGCAACCACTGCCAGTGCTGGCCCGCTCACACTCGCTGCCAGTGCCCTGCAAAGGGGCTGGTCCCACTCACACTCGCTGTGGTGCCGGCCCCAATCACTCGGTGTGTCAGTGGGTGCGAGTGGGGCTGGTGCCATCAGCACGTGAGAGCAGCAGCAGCACGTGGGAACAGCAGAGGCAGGAGCAGAGCTGCCAGCAGACAGGAGACCAGGGTCCTCAGTGGAGGGGTCGGGCAGGGGAGCAAACGATGGGCTGAGACCCACCCTTGTGCCTACAGCAGCCTCTCGGCCCACAGTTCCTTTCAAGGTGCACAAATTTGTGCACTGGGCCCTTAGTAATTCAATAAAAGTAGCTAAAATTAGGAAGAGTTTAGGAGTTGAGTGGAGCTGGGCAGAACCCCATAGAAAGCTGAAAACTACCTCTGACTAGATCAACCTCTTAACTGGTAACCTCTTCATTGATAACCAGTCCTCTGCCCATATCACAGCCCAAAAGAACAGCTTTTCTTGTTTATCCTCAGGTTCATCCTAACTATAGGCCCAGCTCTACCTACAAGATGTCAAGAAACAATACTGCACCTTCAAGAAACAATACTGCACCTTCTCTGATGAGAGAGACACAGAAAATGGGCTGCTGCTTAGTTTCCACGGAAACCATGCCTCTTCCTCAGGACTAGCACCCTTCAAAGGGCAGGCTGGCAGATGCACAGCACACCCTGGTGGCCATCCATTTTCAAAACAGGCCTTTCATAATTTTTAAAAGGGAGCTACATATGTAAGTTTTAAGTTTTCTAAATGCCACACTTAACGGATTAAGCAAAGAAAAAAAGAAAGACTCATGGACACAGACAACAGTATGATGGTTACCAGAAGGAAAGGGAGGTGGGGAAGTGGAGGAGGGTACAAGGGGGATAAATGGTGATGGAAGGAGACCTGACTTACTGTGTTGGTTAACACAATACAATATACAGATGATATATGGTAGAATTGTATACCTGAAACCTATATAATTTTATTAACCAGTGTCACCGCAATAAATTCAAGGAAAAAAGTTTAGCACAACCAGCGTGGCTCTGTGGTTGAGCATTGACCTATGAACCAGAAAGTCACAGTTTGAATCCCAATCAGGGCACATGCTCCGGTTGCATGCTCCATTCCCAGTGGGGGGAGGCAGCTAATCAATGATTCCCTCTCATTGATGTTTCTCTCTCTCCATCCTCCTCCCTTCCTCCTTCTCCAAAAATCAATAAAATACATATATATTTTTTAAATAGGTAATTCGGATCCTCCTCACCTTGGTTAAATGTTCCTGAGGAGTCGGGGCTGGACTGAATTCGCCATTTGAAAATGCATCTCCTTCCCTTTTTACATCTAGAATAAGCTGAGCCACATAATTTTCCTGGAACCGTGTCCTTTTGCCCAAAGCACCTGAAAAAAATATAAAATTATATTCATTGATTTGTTTATCAGACCTACTGTTCAATCATAAAAAGCAATTTTCAGAGTGCTTTAGAATTTATAAAGTGTTTCTTCATCTCAGAAAGAGAAACCTGAGTTTCAGTGATGATTTTAAATGACTTACAAATTTATAAAGCCAATAAGCCATGGGGCCAGAATTCAATCCCAGGATTTCTGCCAATAGATTCCACATCATACTATCTACATTCTCAAAAGAGTAACTCATTAAGTGCTATAGGGAAAAGAAATATTACCATCTACATATGACAGATGAAAACATGGAGGTTCTGAGATACAGTCACTTGCTCATGAGGGGGCTTCTCAGTATCAGAGCCAAAGCTTAAAGCCAGATTTTAGGTTCTAAATCCCAGTCTTTCTATCTGGCTTCAGGTGACATCAAACCTTTTTCATTTTGTAACTGAACCAACTTGCTGCAGAATAGCTTTAAGAGAAGCAAAAGTGCTCACATCCATTTTCTGGTAAGAGTCAGATTACCATGATCCTTGATAACAAAGGCCAGTCTAGAAGTCTGGACTTCATCCTGCTATGAGTCTGGCTCTAAGTTATACATCAACCCTTTAAACATGTTACACTAAAAACAGCTATTGAGATGGTCTAACACAGCTTATAATTTTTATAGTAAGGTTATATATAGCTGAATAGAAAAAATAATGTGAATCTCCTTTTATATTTGTGAGTACCACATTTGTATTTTAAGTTCTTCACTCTTAACTTGGGAAAAAATGTGAACACTAGGCAGTAAATTCATTAACAGTTAAAAGTGACCATACATGGCACTCTGCTATTAATTTTTCAAGTGATAAAAAAAAAATCCCCTAAATCCACAATATTCAAAATCATAATCTCTGAAAATAACCTCACAAGTTTTATTACATATAACTATATTTTCAAACACAGACAACACTTCAACTTGCATAAGGCCATTGCTCCAAAAATTGTAAGCTGGATATTTAATAATTTTCTCTACACAAACAGTAATAAAAGATGGCCAGGATCCTAGGCAGGTCACAAAGTCATATTTAATTCATAATATACCTGAAGGATTTTATTATGTAGCTCAAAAATAAATATAGAGTTTGGTGGCTAAGAATGGACCTTAGAGATAATCTAGGCCCAGCCTATGGAAGACATAGCAAATTCAATCATTTCAATACTCAAAGATTGGGAGTCACAGTCAGGTATGCTGAGCCCATGTGCAACAGGTATAAACAGTGTGATCAAGTGATGATGTCTGACTTTCATTAATGTGTTCAATACTGAATGCCAATTATGTTTTTTGAGACACCAGGGACAGAGTGATACATAAAAAGAAACCAATGTTTCTTATTTGGTGTTCAGAAGAAACACAGAGGTTTTAGGAGAAACTCTGTAATTTGCTTGTTCACTCAGCAGATGTTTATTGAGTGCCTAGTCCATGCCAGATAGTGTTATAAGGAACTGAATAAACGTCTAATCAACAGTCAAAAATTTGATCTTAAGGAATACAAGAAAAAAGGAGAGAAGCAATAGATAGGCATTTACAAGGAAGGGCAATGTAGGAAGGCCAAACCAAACTTGGGAATCAGAAGGGAGGGGTTGAAAGTTCCTTTGTGTCCTGCCTGGCTTCCATACTATTAGCATGTGTCTAACCAGATTAGGAAATACATGGGCATCTTCAGAAATAAAAAATATATATAATTTCAAGTTTGTTGTAAGACTATGAATTTTTTTAAATATATTTTATTGATTTTTTACAGAGAGGATGAGAAAGGGATAGAGAGTTAGAAACATTGATGAGAGAGAAACATCGATCAGCTGCCTCCTGCACACCCCCCACTGGGGATGTGTCCACAACCAAGGCACATGCCCTTGACCGGAATCGAACCTGGGACCTTTCAGTCCGCAGGCTGAGCCAAATTGGTTTCAGCAAGACTATGAATTTTTAAAATCCATTTTTGTAAAGCAAAGAATAGGACATAGAAAATCAAATACAACCAAACAATATAGCCAAATTGCCAATGTATATTGGCAAAAAAATTAATCAACTAGCCACAAAAAAATATAAAGTCTTACCTGTCAAATCAATTTGTAATTTGCTGATGTCTTTAGCAATGCTGAACTGATCTTTTGCTTTTTTATATTCATAATAATATAAAAATATATATGCACATTCCAGATGGAACTGAATAGCCAAATATCGACCTGGATCATCTACAAACAGATGTTCTAGCTTCATCACTGCAAGAGAAAAGACAAACATTAAAAACTATGATGAGAATAAAATGTTGAGTCCATAATATGTGAAGTATATTATATATTACATTAGCCCTGCTCTTAAAGAATTTTCAGTTTGGAAGATAAGGAATTCATATAATAGTTCACAGCTAAAATTTGCTGAGTGCTTGTACGTTCTAAGCAGGAAGCACTCCAAACAATCCTAAAAGGCATTATTCATAACCCTTTTCTTTCTTGTTTTAGAGTGCTTGTCTGCACCCTGCTATTAAAAAAATATGACAACACAAGTTGATACAAAATACAAATGAACCTATGAAGAGCTAACCAATACGAAAAATCTGATGAAGAGATCAGCTTACAATTTCCTCATAAAGAATGTAGAATTTCTCTCTTAAAAGAAAGAGAGAGCTCTTCCCAAAAGCGGCCTGACGTGACCTCTGAGAATGGTTCAGAAAAACCCACAAAATCATGCAAATCGAGAGGTTCAGATGTTCGTGGTCACTTTAAGAACACTCATGAACCTGCCCAGTGCCTTCCTTCAGGGTCCTGCATAGCCAAAAGCCACCAAACAGCTGAAAGATGTCACTGCAGAAGCAATGTGCCACTCTGTCCTTACACTGGTGGAGCTGGTGGGTACGCCCAGGCCAAACAGTACGGCTGGACATAGGATGGGGACCCAAAAGGAGTGCTCAAGTTTTGCTGCACATGCTTAAAAATGCAGAGTGATGTTGAATTAAGGGTTCAGATGTAGCTTCTCTGGTAATTGAGCACATCCAAATGAATAATGCTCCCAAGATGTGGTGCAGAATTTACAGAGGTTATGGGTGGATTAACCTGTCCATGAGCTCTCCCTGCCACATGGAGATGATCCTATTGAAAAAGAGCAGACTGCTCCTAAACTAGAAGAAACAAAAGAACTGTAAAACTACCTTTCCCCCATCCTGTATTATTGGTAAGTCCCTTATCAGATATATTTTTTGCAAATATTTCCTCCTATTCTGTGAGTTGTCATTTCACTTTCTTGAGCATATCATTGAAAAAAAAAAAAAAGCTTTTTTTCATTTTAAAGAAGTCTAAATTATTTTTTTCTTTTGTTATTCAAGCATATATATATATATATATATATATATATATATATATATATATATATATATATATATATATAATTGATTTTTGAGAGGGAGAAGATAGAAACATCAACAATGAGAAAGAATAATTGATTGGCTGCCTCCTGCACGCCCCCTACTGGGGATCAAACCCACAACCTGGGCATATGTCTTCTACCTGGGACCCTTCAGTCTGCAGGTCAACGCTCTATCCACTGAGCCAAACCAGTGAGGGCCTTACTCAAGTTTTTGATGTGGTGTCTAAGAATCCATTGCCAAATCTGACGTCATGAAGATTTACCCCTATTATTTTCTCCTGAGATTTTTTTAAAAATATATTTTATTGATTTTTTACAGAGAGAGGAAGAGAGAGGGATAGAGAGTCAGAAATATTGATGAGAGAGAATCATCTATCAGCTGCCTCCTGCACACCCCCCACTGGGGATGTGCCGCAACCAACGTACATGCCCTTGACCGGAATCGAACCCGGGACCTTTCAGTCCGTAGGCCAACACTCTATCCACTGAGCCAAACCGGTTTCGGCTCTCCTGAGATTTTTATAGTTTTAGCTCTTATATTCAGGTGCCTGACCCATTTTGATTTAACTTTTTGTATATGATGTAAGGTAAGGGTCCGATTTTATTCGTGTACATATAATTACCCAAAGAGCCCCAACACCATTTGTTGAAAAGACTATTCTTTCCCCATTGAGACATTTAATATGTAGAATAAAGCAAGTAATTATGTTAACATTGTTAGGAACAAAATTTTCAGTTTAACAGGTATCTAGGTATCAAAGATAGAAACATTTTGCAAAGTTAAATTTTTTTTCAAACTATAAGAGAAAGTTTATTTAGAAAGACAGAGAGGTAGAAGTGAGCCAAGGAATGGGCTCAGGAAATGAGTAACCCAGGCAAAAAAAAAAAAAAAGACCCTTGAAGCTTAGGGGAGAGAGGAACAGGGAGGTAGGAATATAGGGAGGGAGAGAGGGAGGGAGAGAAGAAAAGAGGAGGGAGGGAGGCCGAGAGAGAGAGAAAGAGAGCGAGCGAGAAAGAGAGAGAGAGAGAGAGAGAGAGAGAGAGAGAGAGAGAGAGAGAGAGAGACTGACCTTGAGAGATGACAGGAGGAGGAAAGGCTTGAAATGAGCAGATATTTAACAATCCTTTGATGGCTATCACTAACAAGATGGAAATCCAGTGTCCTAATGATCGGTCTAGTTCAACCTGACACACAACCCCTCACATCTGCTCCTGCAATTCCCAGACATTCCAGTCTCCCTGCCTCTCTTTGTACATACCCTGTCCAACTTCCCCACCTAATAAATTCTCACTGGTTCTTAAAAAGTCAGCTCAAACATCAAACACTTTGTGAAGCCTTCTCTGATCTCTCAAGTTTATTCCTTCCTTCCTCTTTATGTCTTTTTCTTCCTATAATCTAGCTCCTATTCTAATGAATTCACTGGCATCCCAATCTCCTAGCACAGTGACTGGAACCCAGCAAGAATTTAAAAATATATATGTATTTTTTATATCTTTTTTATATATATTTTATTGATTTTTTACAGAGAGGAAGGGAGATAGAGAGTTAGAAACATCAATGAGAGTCATCGATCAGCTGCCTCTTGCATGTCCCCTACTGAGGATGTGCCCGCAACCAAGGTACATGCCCTTGACCGGAATTGAACCCGGGACCCTGCAGACTGAAGGCTGACGCTCTATTCACTGAGCCAAACTGGTTTCGGCTATGCATGTATTTTTACTAAATATCAAATATGGCAGGCAACAGAAAAATAAAACTGGGAATAACTGAATATTTTTCCTATTTAAAAAATGGCATGATGAAATTGCTATTTAGAATAACTAATTCAGTAGTGATGTACATGGACAAGGAACAAAGGCCAAAAAAGAGCCCATAGGGGATATGAAGGGATAATGAAGGGATAATGATAGTGGCCTTCAGTAACTGGAGGGCTGGCCACACACAGGACTACACCTATCCCACCATCTCTGTTGCTCCACAGCAGTGCTGTCCACTAAGTCATTGGTGATGACGTTAACGTTACGTATTTGATAGCTGAACTCTTCACAATGATAGCCATTAGCTCCGCCTGGTCTCTGGGCACTTGAAATGTGGCTAGTGAAACTGAGCAACTCAAGTATTTAATTCAATTATTTCACTTCATTTCATTTTAAATAGTCACGTGTGGCTAGTAGCCACTATACTGGACAGGCGCTCTAGCTAGCAGTTGTGGCGAAATAGCAGATATTTTAAATTAATAAAAGGAACCACTTTGTAGCAATTACTGATCCTAAAATGTTGTGGGCTCCCTCTCAAAGTAATCTTCGTAAGTGCCCAAGAAAAGAAGAGATGACCTTTTTTAATACAATTTCCAACAGATTACAGCATTAGGATGGGTGGAAAGATAGCCTACAAAGAATCAAATTATTTTTGCCTGGAAAAGATTCAAAGATCATTTTTACATGGAAGAGAACCTTGGTTTGGAAGTTAGATAAGTTGAGGTCACACAGGACAGAAAAGCAAATAAAAGCCAGATCTTACAACACTATGTTCTGTTAATTTTCTTGACTGTGACAATTTCATGGGAATGCATATGTAAAATGTCATCAATTGTATACTTTAAATGAGACTTATTATAGATTAATTATACTTCTAAAGAGCACACTATACCCACCACTATACTACCCTATGTCAACTCTTTAGCATCATCTCATAAGAGTTATTGAGGATAAGTTAGTTAATATATTTAAAGATTAGAATAGTGTTTGGTTTAGAGTAAACACTACAGAAATGTTAAGTGCAATTATCACTATTAGATACCAAAATTCTGCCCTACTGACCATTCTGAAGAACTGTAATTGGAGTCAGAAACTCCAGATCATAGTTCTGGTTCTTGGACAGTCTCTCCGAGTATCAATTCTTTGAAAATGAGTTAATTAACTGCAGAAAATAATCTCTAAAGCAGCAGTCACCAACCTTTGGTCCGCAGACCATGGTGGTCTATGAGGTCTGAAAAGTTGGCGACCACAGCTCTAACGGCCCTTTCCAAATGAAAGATTTCAGAAGTGGACTAGGTAAGAGCTGTAGAAAGAGAAAAGAAGGATGGATGTGGGGACCTTAAGGAAGAACTGATAAGATTTAAGAACTGGAAAAACAATGAATCAACTATGAACATGAAGTTTTGAGCTTTGAATGACTCAAGGCTTAAATAAAAGCCTTCTATATGTTTACACAATAGAAGTACATTTATTGTCTTAACAAATCAGTAAGTACATGAAAGTAAATATTCATGACCTTCTAAATCAAACCCTCAAACAGTACATTTAAAACATATGCGAAAACCAAAATCTGTTCTCATGAGATTATGTGAATGCTGTGTTAAAATGAAATCCTATGGATAATTACAATTAGACTAGAGGCCCGGTGCATGAAATTCGTGCATTTGGGGGTGGGAGGCAGAGCAGGTCCCTCAGTAGGGCCTGCGCCATCTTGCAGTCTGGGATCCCTCGAGGGATGTCAGACATCCTTAGTGCTGTCGCGGAGGCCAGAGGCTCCCGCGGAGGCCAGAGGCTCCCGCTACCTGCCACCGCTGCTGCACTCACTAGCCATGAGCCTGGCTTCTGGCTGAGTGGTGCTCCCCCAGTGAAAGCACACTGACCACCAGGGGGCAGCTCCTGCATTAAGCATCTGCTACCTGGTGGTCAGTGCATGTCACAGCGACTGGTTGGTCAACCATTCGGTCTATTTACATATTAGCCTTTTATTATATAGGATAATCATATTAGCATGATTAATAACATTCATTCTAAAGTATCAAATCATTTTATAAGTAAATGCATACGTCAGTCACCAAAAAACTAATCTCTTGAACTCTTTCAATGTGGGAACAATCTGACCCTAGAGTTACACAACTGCCTGTAGATGTCACAACAGAACCCTTTAACAAAGCATTTTAACCTGTTTCTCTCAGACGGTGACTTCTTCATGAGTTCACCTTCAAAGAGCTAAACTGCAATATTATGGCTCATGCATTTTCAGTATCAAAGCCTACAATAAATGGTTGTGTATCCTTAAGCAGTGTGTGTGTGTGTGTGTGTGTGTGTGTGTATTATTGATTTTTTACAGAGAGCAAGGGAAAGGGATAGAGAGATAGAAACATCAATGAGAGAGAAACATCGATCAGCTGCCTCCTGCACACCCCCCACTGGGGATGTGCCCGCAACCAAAAAACATGCCCCTGACCAAAATGAAACCTGGGACCCCTAAGTCCGCAGGCTGACGCTCTATCCACTGAGCCAAACTGATCAGGGCCTTATGCAGTCTTTAGAGAACCATGGTTTCATGAATGTGACACCCAAGAGTATTTTAGATGGTGCTGAGAGATACCATCTCAAAATTCCAACTTACTCCTTTCAAAGACGGGATCAGTCCAGCTGACACTCTGATGCACTCTATTCCACTACATCGTACTGATGCAACATTCTTGGACCAAAAGATAAAGATCCCAGTTGTTCATAATATACTTCTCTGTTTCATAGACTGCAAAAAAATCCTTCCAACTTTCTGATGATCCCTCAAGGGCAATATTTCAAATATAATATTCTTCCCTGGACACTGAACAGTATTTCAGTTATAACTGACTGCTTGGTTAACACTTGAGTCAAATCCCAGAACAAAACATTTTTTAAATAAAATTATTTATGAAACGTTGTAGTTTAAGACTATCTACAGACCTATTTAGACATAGCCAAATGGACCAATTTATGACTAGATAACATGAAAAATGTCGTTGATTAGCCTAGAATAGCAACATAAAAAATTCTGAGTTGTAAGGCAAAGCAAGTGATATGCTACAATACACTGCAGAAAGAAACTGAGACCACTTGGGGAATGAGTCAGTCACAGTCATATTTTCCAATATCTTAGTTATTATCCCTTTCTGTACAGAAACTTAATTTTACCTCTTAGAATTCTCTCTAAGATACACCATTGTGGTTCCTGCCTTTAAAATTAGTACATAAGGAAGGAATTTCCTTCTTTTCCTAATAAAGAGTTATCATTATGAACACTGGTCAGAGATATGGTAAAGAGACAGCCATTAATGTAGATTAACATAATATAGAATAAATCTGCAACAATGACAACCCAAACTTCATTTCCTTAGAAAAAAAAAAAAGAAAAAAAAAACTGCCTGTGATACCTTAGTTTTTGTTCATTTACAAATTTTCCATGAAAGTATAATAAAACGTAGGAAACTGTATAAAATTCTATGCAGTAGGCTGTAGGTACCTTTTTAAAAATTAAATAGGACCTGAATCCTGATGCCATTCTCCTCCAATTTTTTCCCATTATCCTCTGGGGGAAAAAATAATCTTTCTCCTCATTACTTTCAATGACATTCAGCTCATCCCTGGCTTTCAAAACTTTACCCAATTTCATTAACTAGCTGCTTACCACCTCCAGCCCCCGATACACATACACATTCATTTCCCCTTTGAACAGTTTGTTTACAGAGTGTCTCTCACTTACAAAATATGTGAAGACATGAATGGGGGAAGACACAGTCTATACATTTTCATTGCACTAAAAACAGAAAGAGGACAAGACATATCTACTAAACAGGCATTATCAGGTCTCAGTTTTCTCCAAGTCTCACTTGATATTCCATTTTGAAGAGAATGCCATACCTCAGCAACACTATTATGAACTGACTCAAAGTACCACATGGTATCTGGATAGGATCAATTTTCTATAATATTTTACATTTTGAAATTTTCTTTTACAGAAATTAAATTAGGTCAAATCTGCAATCAAGATGGAGGACTAATAGAGTTCCCCCTAAAAAGTACATATAGAGCCCTGGCCAGTTTGGCTCAGTGGATATAGCATGTTAGGGAGATAACCAATCAATGTGTCTCTCTCACATCAATGTTTCTCTCTCTCCCTCTCTCCCTCCCTTTCTCCCTCTCTTCTTCTCTTACTCCCTCCCTATATCCTTCCCTTCCTCCTTCTTTACCCTCTTCCCTTCTTTCTTTCTGCTCTCTATAAAAACTGATGGAAAAATAGCCTCGGTGGAAAAATATCCTTGGTTGAGGATTAACAGAAAAGGAAAAATGTTAGCTACTAGCCCTGGCTACAAAACATCCTGTGCACCGAATGGCTGCTGGTCTGATTCCCAGTCAGGGCAGCATATACCCAGGTTGCAGGTTCGATCCCTGGTTTGGGGTGCTATGGGAAGCAACTGATCGATGTTTCTCACTTCGATGTTTCTCTCTCTCAAGATCAATTAAAAAAAAAAGAATCAACCAATGAACACATAAGTAAGTAGAACAACAAATAGATGTTCCTCTCTCTCAAATAAGTAAATAAATAAACTAATTTGCAACTAAATGTCAGGTTTAGATCCAGTGGCAAAGAATAGCTGTCATCAACAAATCAACAAACAACAAGTGCTGGTGAGGATGCAAAAAAAAGGAACCCTTGGCCAAAACCGGTTTGGCTCAGTGGATAGAGCGTGGGTCTGCGGACTGAAAGGTCCCAGGTTCGATTCTGGTCAAGGGCACGTACATTGGTTGTGGGCACATCCGCGGTAGGGGGTGTGCAAGAGGCAGCTGGTCAATGTTTCTCTCTCATCGACGTTTCTAGCTCTCTATCCCTCTCTCCTCCTCTCTGTAAAAAATCAATAAAATAAAAAAATAAAAATAAAAATAAAAAATAAAAAAAATAAAATATATATATATATATATATATATATATATATATATTTATTATTATTTTTTTTTTTTTTTTTTTTAAAGAAAGAAAAAGGAACCCTTCTGCCCTGCTGGTGGGAATACAGTCTAGTATGAGAACAGTATAGAGTTTCCTCAAAAAACTTGGAGTTTCCCTTTTGACCCAGTAATCCTACTTCTAGGAATATATCCCAAGAAACTAGAAAAAAACAATCAGAAAGGACATATGCACCCCTATGTTCATAGCAGCACAATGCACCATAGCTGATTTGGAAACACCTAAGTGCCCATCAGCAGATGAGTGGATTAAAAAACGGTGGTACATCTACACAATGGAATACTACGCTACTGTAGAAATAGAAAAACTTTTTCCATTTGCAACAGCATGGATGGACCTGGAGAGCATTATGATAAGCAATATAAGTCAGTGGGAGAAAGATAAATATCACATGATCTCACTCATTTGTGGAATATAATGAATAACATAAACTGATAAACCAAAACAGAACCAGAGAAAAAAATATTTTAAAATATAATAAAAGTAGATGCTCTGGTTTCTCTTCAGACCGCATAAATCTTTCACCATTTAAAATATAATAAAAGTAATCCTGTTATTTGCAGATTCTTAATATTTCCTACAACTTTTGTAATATTATACTATGTTAATACAGTTTTGGTAATATTATTATATTTAAAATCTTTTTTCTTGAAATATTAATTTTTATTGCATATAATATTATATTTTAAATTGTTTTCTTTAAATATCCATGTTTATTATATGTAACAATAAATAAATCCAGTGGCAAAATAAAAAGTTTTTAAATATACAAAGGAGAAGCTCAGAATATTTTTTTAACATAAAGAAAAATGTATTTTATTAAAGAAATGAAGACACATATAAAATGTCATATGAATCTTACCATAAAATATTTTTAAAAAATTAAAAAATTAAATGCCCTTGCTCATTCCATAGCCTTATGTTACCTAAAGTCCTGAAAAAATATAAACGAAGTCCTAATATAAACAACAGAAGTGAATCAATTATTATAAATTATTAAAATCTATAGTATTATCGATTCAAATATCTTCATTCTGAATCATATATAGATGGTTCACTTTATCTAATATTAATATATACTTATGTATTTGTCCTAGAATAAAAAAAACTTAAGAAATTAGTTTCAACTGATCACCTAGTTTACTATATTACTGCACAAATTAATATCCTGTCTAGTGTATCTGATCGACCTTTGTATAATCACAGGGTTGTACACCTGAAATTAATATATATCAACTGTAATTAAAAAATTAAAAAATTATTTCAAAAAATCAATGTTAAAAGAAGAAAACAATAATAAAACAAAATGTAAAAATGCCTCTTTAGCCAATGTCACCCTCAATAAAAAGTATTTTCCACCAAAAGTTTTTTTTAAAAAGCTTTTCTTCATGTACTTAATAAGATATAAATAATTTCCTATTCTGCATGCAATTCACTCTATAATGAGTTAAAGATTTTTTTTTTTAAAAAGGAAGCTTACACTTGTTTTTGCTTTTGCAAAAAGACCTCTTAAAAAACAGAAAATATTAAAATATCTTTAAGCAAAGTCATGATCAAATCATGGTGACCTGCATAGAACAGATCATTCCTTCTAAGTAGGTAACATAAATGACAATGATTGTCTTTAAAAAAAAAAAAAAGCAAAAATAAAAGAAATTCAATAATCTGATACCCTAATAATTTGATATTCCACCTCCAGAAAAAAAAGAAAAAGAACTCAAATTAAGTCACTATTACCTATAGAAGGTAAGTTAAACAAGAATGGCTCAGTCAAGAAATTGAAATGGAGTTACATGCCCACATCCAATAAAAACCTGCTACATACCTTGATCGATACAGCCTTCAGCAAGAGCAAAAAGCTGAGGTGAGCGTTCCTCAAGCAACTGCTGGTGAACGTTCACACACCTCAAAGTCCACCACGGCAAGCTCTGGAAAAGGAAAGCACCGAGTATGGTGAAATAAAGGGACCCTTCGGAAAAATATCTTTTACATTAACTGAAATTAATTTTTTTACATTTGTGAAACTGACCGTATTCAATAAGCTTCCCAATCCCCTGCTATGTCTTCAGTAATAATGCTCAAATTCACTACTACATCTTCCACAAGAACATCCCTGTCCTCTGTTCTCTCAAAGCCTGTCTTTTTAGTCCACTGGGCTTCCTGACACCATTTCGAACTCACCATCTCCTCCACTAAAATGTCTGCTGCAACTACACTGTTTTCTGTCAGCACCCATAGTTCTAGGAGGCCTCCTGCAAGAACATCCTAGGGAGAGCCTGACTGGTATGGTTCAGTGGATTGAGCATGGTTCCATGCAGCAAGAGGTCATTGGTTCGATTCCCAATCAGGGCATATGCCCAGGTTGCAGGCCCCAGTAGGGGGCTTGCAGGAAGCAGCCAATCAATGTTTCTATCTCTCTTTCCTTCTCCCTCCCCCTCTCTCTAAAATCAATAGAGACATATTATAAAAAAGAAAAAGAAAAAAGAACCTCGTGGGGTGTGGGGGTGGACATTTTCCTTCATTTACATTCCCAGCATATACATGTACCTCCCTTTGCACACACACAAGCTGTGATTCTGTATGTCACCCCTAGCTTTCAGTGTTATCCACCATTTACCCAACAAGATGAGAAATGTCTTACTCATCTCTGTATCTTCCCCAAAGCAATGTGTTTTGCACAAACTACCAAGTAAGAAATACACTGGATTCATTCAGATATTGTCCAAAACCGGGACACTCTCTTCCACACGTCTGTGAACCTCTCCCATGAAGCCCTGTCCCACTAGTGTGATGAACTCTGGTCTCTCACTTCTGAACTTCTACACTGCTCCTAGAAGTCAGACCACATTGGACAGTTCTTGTTTTTCAAGTGTACAACTCTACCTAGTCCATACATTTTTTGAATGTAAAGAATACATTTTAAAAATTGACTTGACTAACTCACAGGCTGAGAACACAGTGGCTTTTCTCTCTTCTCTGATGCTTGTTCTTACTTATCATTACATCTTTATTTAAAAAAAACAACAACAAACAACAACTGGCAATACATAAGCAAATACAGTGAAGAGTGAACATCTTTCTCCTGCTGCCCCAATGCCATCTTTCTTTCTTGGAAAAATCCAAGACAAAGACTCATATTGTTCTACATCTTCCTCTATGAATGTATGGTTGTGTGTACAAGTTCTATTTTTTATAGATTCATTAGAAGCCCAGTGCACAAATTCATGCATGAGTGGGATCCCTTGGACTGGCTGGCAATCAGGGCCTATCTGGGCTGGCGAGCCCATGGGAGGAACTGTGGGAGGTTGGCCAGCCTTGGCAGGTTGGCTGTGGGAATGCACTGAGTGTCTGCCTCCCAGTGGTCAGTGCGCATCATAGCAACTGGTTGACTGGTCATTTGGTCAACCAGTCCTAATGGTCGTTTAGGCTTTTATTTATATATAAAGCATTAAACATGATCATGCACTAGATCATCTAAATTAAAACTGTTATTTTGAATTATATTGTATAATGCTGTGAAAAATTAATTTTCCTTTTTATAAAAAAGCAGTAAATACTAACGGGAGGTCATGCTTAATTACCAAGTTTTACTTGACCTTAACATCTGCATTTGATTAAGAGGTAAAACTGCCTGGTTCCCCTTTTAAACTGCTGTATAGCACAGCAGTTGCAACAATGACACAATCACAAATGAATTTTGACTCTATGACAAATGCTTTCTAATTATTAATGTGGTTTCCTCTGCCATGTAAGGAAAGATAGAATTATCTAATAGAAAGAAGTTTCCCATCATTTTTAATGTAATTCCCTGGGTGTTGCCTCATTCTGTTCCTATCAGTAAAGCTAATGAAGTCAGCATACACATCAGTTATCTGTCCCTTATCCTCTGCCAGCGATAAGTGAGTCAGGTTTGGCAGCAGAGTCTTTTTGTTGTCTACATATGAGAATTTAGACAGATCCAAAGAGACTGCCTTTGTAAGAAAACATACAACATAAGATGCTGAACTCTTAAAAAGCAGATCTAGCCCAGATGGTGTGTGGCTCAGTAGTTGAGCATCGACCTACCAACCAGAAATTCATAGTTTGATTCCCAGTAAGGCACATGCCTTGGTTGCAAGCTAGAATCCCAATGAGACATTGATGTTTCTATCTCTCTCTCCCTCTTTCTTCCTCTCTGAAATAAAAGTGTGTGTGTATGTATGTGTGTGTGTGTGTATGTATGTGTGTGTGTATATATATATATATATAAATCAGATCTATAAAACTAATTCTTAACCCAAAATCTTTATATACTAGTAGAAGTGGGAGTGCAAAACAAATAAAGCATAGCTTATGTTCTACTAGAAAATAACAGTGCCTTTTCCTATTTGCTAAGAATTGCTTAATAGAACATTTGAGTCATTAATAAATAAGAGAATCTGGAGCCTTGGTTTCTAGATCCTGCCTCCTGATGACAGGGCTTATTACAGAATGTTCTGATGGAGAAATCATGCTAGTCAATACCCTCCTAGAAGGCAGGCGCATTCCTGTACCCACACACCCAATAAATGCTTCCTGGCTTATTCCATCTTATCAACAAGGGAACTGGAATTCAGAGAAATTAACTAGCATAAGGTCACACAGTTGTTAAGTGGCTGAGCCAGACAAACTGGTGTGATTTCAAAGCCAGGACTCCTTTCACTCCACATTTACTTATTACTAATACTAGTCTACAAATTTCCCAAGGTAGAGGTCAGGGGAAAATCATCTTTTACAGTTCCACAAAAATAATACTGCAATACACAACTTGATACATTTCCTAGGAGCCAACTTATTCAAAATTAATTTAAAAGATTAAAATTAACTTGGATAAATATGTTGTGCTTTGTAACCACTTTACCTTCATTTATTAGTCACTTTTAACATCATCATTTAGAAAGAATGTATTCAATACCCAAAGAGAGAAAAAATTTGAATGCTTTGATTGAAAGGCCAGCTTTCGGCACAGAATGATCTTTGTGTTGCATAGCGATGTACAATAAGAAAACAAGGTTAAAAGCTGAAGTCAAAGTTAAGCACATGCCAAGGAATTCAGGTAACTCATCTCTCCAACCCTACCAAGTATGACCACGTGTTCACTTGTTCTACTAGTTGCTGATAGTACATGTATCTTTATTCAAGTGATGCTTAGCATACTTGATCAAAATTTTCCACCAACAAAACTTAAAATTGTCTTATTCACTCATTAATGACCATTAGTCTCACTAGAAAGAAAATTTTGTCATCCTTGTTGATACTTTCTTCAAAGCCAAATACCTACTAGTTAGTCTACAGCAGCGGTCACCAACCAACCAGTGGTCCGCGGAGTCTGAAAGGTTGGCGACTGCTTGTCTACAGGACCATTTAACTCAGATCAACCGGGGAAACATTTTTTTAATTCAAACTAATGTTGCTAAGAAAACAATGATAAGACCTTATATCTGCTAGGACATGCTGAAACACATCAATCAGAAACATTTCCAGAGCAACTGATTCCAAATAAATCTCTGGCTCTCATGAGATTTGTTGACAGAGATATCACTTCCCTTTTGCCTCTTCTCTGAATAGACTTAAAAGCAAGCCCTCATACAATACAAACCAAGTCTACATTTTGTCAGAGAAATATTGTGTTTTTTCAATTTTTTCAATTTTTAGAAATTGAGACATTTCACAGAATATTTAGATTTACTATTGGCAATACAGGGTCTGAATCCCCAAGCTGCAACAATCAGAACAGGAGTAAGCAAGACATAGCCTATGGGCCAAAGCAGCCCCACCACCAGCATTTGTACAGCCCAAGGAGTCACACTAGCTTTACATTTTTAAATCATTCCAAAATACAAAAGAAGGATAACATGTTATAACATGATAAAATAGAGAGAGAGAGAAAGAGAGAGAGAGAGGGAAACACTGTTTAGTTGTCATCCCCAACTGGGGCTGGAAACCACCTAGGTATGTGCCCCAATGGGAATCAAACCTACAACCTTTGGTGTACGGAATAACACTCCAACCAACTAAGCCAGCTGCTGAGGCTAAAATTAAAATTTTAGTAAACATAAATAAAACTTTATTGGTACAACAGTCACACCATTTGTTCACAGTCTCCAGCTGCTTTTACAACACAATGCAAAGCTGAATAATTATTCAGACTCCGGTAGTTAAAATAGAGACTGCAGCCAAAACCGGTTTGGCTCAGTGGTAGAGCGTCGGTCTGCGGACTGGAAGGTCCCAGGTTCGATTCCGGACAAGGGCATGTACCTTGGTTGCGGGCACATCCCCGGTTGGGGGTGTGCAGGAGGCAGCTGGTCGGTGATTCTCTCTCATCGATGTTTCTAACTCTCTATCCCTCTCCCTTCCTCTCTGTAAAAAAATCAATAAAATATATTTTATAAAAAAATAAATAAAAATAAAATAAAATAGAGACTGCACAAAGCACAGGTGACACTTCCTCTAAACCTCCAAAGACTTTCTTTGTATGTCTTGTGATTTTGTCGCCTCCTACTACTGCCTGTTTAGCTTTCTGAGTCTGAGTGCTTCTTCTCACTAATTTACACATGACTTAAGGAAACCATGTCAGATACTCAACAGCTGCTCTACTAAACCCAACCCAAATAATGAAACAAGAGTGGAGCTTGTGAGCCAGGAAATAGTAACTAAGATCCTCCGCAGTCGATCGTGCTAAACTCTGCCTATTGCTCATTATCTTACATGAAATTCATAAAAGACTATAAAGGATGTTTTTAAACCTGTATTTCAGATTCAGAGAATGAACATTTATATACATGTACACGTTACATACACCCATACTTACAATCCTATTAAAGTGGTTCAATATAATCTTATTTTATACTAGATGAAAATCATGAGGGGAGAAAGCTTTTGCTTACGTTCATCAGGTTTTAAAATTAAATACCTACAAGGCAACTGAGACAATAAATATGTTAAGATATCGTCAACATCACACCTACAGTCTGATGCTAATCAGCACAAAGTCACACTGGGTATGACCCTCCTGGCTCCTTGTTTTCCCTTACCTGAAGTGCTGTCAGTTTATGTCTTACATTCACTAGGATAATGCGTGCTAATAACAGCAGTACAGGGTTCGAGGTCAGGCTGTAGACTGATTCACCATCAAGAACGAGAAGACTCAGAACAACTGCATCCAGTCCTTTCACCTAAAAAAAAATTTGTAAGCTAAGAAGATATAATTTAACAACATATTATTAATCTTTGTCTTGTAATTACACATATTTTCCAGTTATTCCAATTCTGAAGCAAAGACATTAATCTATTACATAGTAATTGGCACTGGGCAGAATCATAACATCATAAATGCCCTTAGGGATCTACAAATCGAGCCAGCCCTGACAGAGAGCCACCCATCTGCTGTGCTTCAGAGGAACAGGGAGCTCAAGACAATACTAATACTGAAGAGGCATCATGACTTTATAGATTTACTTACAACAAAATGCCATCTCTGTGAAAAGCATCCCTAGTTAAAGTATTTTAAACACATTTCACATATGCTTCATCAGCTGGCAAATGTCATTACAAAGCACAACTGCTCCATAATTTTATTTTGTTTGTTTCTTTTTTTATTATTTAAAGTATTACATATAGTAGTACATATATGTCCTTTTTCTTTTCGCCACTGACCTTCCCCCCGTCTCCCCTACCCCCTGTCACATGCCCTCATAATTCCTATCAAGCCAACAAGGTCTTACATAGCAAGTGCTGAACAGGCACACAACAAAGAGAAAGAGAGAGAGAGAGAGAGAGAGAGAGAGAGAGAGAGAGAGAGAGAGAGAGAGAGAGAGAGAGAGAGAGAGAGAGAGAGAAGGGCGGGGAGAGAGAGGGAGAGGGGGGAAGAAGGAGGGGAGAGGGGGAGGAGAAGGAGGAGGGGGAGGGGAGGGGGAGAGGAGGGGAGGAAGGGAGGGAGGGAAAGAAGGAAGAGAGGGAAGGAGGGAGGGGGGGAGGGAGGGAGGGAAAAAGAAAAACAATTGTTTTTAAAAAGCTGCAAAAAAGGGATGCCTGTGAAAACTTCACCCCTTGACTGCACAGATTTCCTAAATGTTTTTCAAATGTGAACTGCACAACTGTGACAGCGTCCACAAAACAGACAGCAGGGATGCATAACTGTTAGGAATATGGGCTCTAATCTCAGAGACACAGGATGGGGTCCTTTATCTGCTTCTTATCCGTTTGTAGACAGATAAATTTCTTAACTGAAGCCTCAGTTCCATCAATTATAAAATGAAATGATAGAAACTATACCTCATAGAATTCTTAAGATAAAATTATACTGAGAAGTATTATAGAGGAATAAAGACAACGTGAATGACTCCCACTAAACCACACATAAAGTTCACTGTTATCTCCACTAAGGAAAGAAGGAATTTTTTAAAAATTCAATAATTAAGAAACTATTTTGAAGTTATTTCCAACTGCCTCAATTTTAGAAGTGAGACAACAGATCCAAAAAGTTAAGTGAAACCCCAAATCACACAGAACTTCGGGTCTGAATAAAGAGTATAGTTCAAGTTTTCCAACTCCAAAACCAGTGTTTTTCCCACCACATGTGCCTTCCCCAGGCGGCTCGCTCTCTCTTCCTGCCACTCAGCAAGGTCAGGGCCGCGGAAGGCATTAGGAAGGCCTCAGTGCAGGACCAGGATCACGCCTAGCCTTCACACTGACACAGGCCACAAATCAGAGGCAGGGGAAATCAATCTGGCTTTGGTGACTAGACTCCGTGACCATAAAGTATATTCACAAATATTTGTGCATTGCAAGGGCTAGGAAAGATGAATCAGCTTTATATCCCACATGTGAGTGAAATCATATGGTTCTTAACTTTTTCTATATGACTTACTTCACTTAGCAAATAAGATCTATAAAATTAAAAGAGACAAATGAACAATGACTCAGTAAACTGATGTACACACAATGAATTATAATGGCTTTCAAATTACGGATGCTTTTGTACCTCTTCTCTACCTCACCACCGAATTACTAACATCTCAGTAACTCCATTCCTTTCATTTGCTATTTCTCATTGAGACACTGGGTAACAGTAATCAGGCCCCTTTCACTGCATAAGCTTTGGGTGCCAAGGAGCCCTTTTTCCACTATGTTCAAGATCTCTGAGGTGGCTGGATAAATCAAAGTTACCACACTTCTTCTGGGAGCATGTCATATTCACCAAGCCCTAGGCATATGTGCTCAAAATGCCTGAGGAATTCAAACTGCAAGCTTTTCTGATGATCTACTGATGCAAGTCAATAACATTGTCTTCATATACGGAGAATATTAACAGGGCCCTGGATGGTTTGGCTCAGAGGATAGAGCGTTGGCCTGCGGACCCAAGGGTCCCATGTTCTATTCCTGTCAAAGGCATGTATCTTGGTTGCGGGCACATACCCAATAGGGAATGTGCAGGAGGCGGCTGGTCGATGTTTCTCTCTCATCGACGTTTCTGGCTCTCTATCTCTCTCCCTTCCTCTCTGTAAAAAATCAATAAAATATATTAAAAAAAAAAAAAAATATATATATATATATATATATATATATATATATACACACACACACACACACACACACACACACACACACAGAGATATATATATATATACAGATCTGCTGCTTTGCCAGAAAACACCTTTAAGTAACTGGGAACTTATGCATCTACCAGTATATATGCATAAGTAGTATATGCATATACACTGGTACAGCTGCCTGTGCTGTAAAAACTGAGCAGCTCACAGAGCTCCAGAAAATGGGGCATCTGAAGAGGGGTTTGAGACCGGCAATGACACTTCTGGAAATATGTCAAAAATCTGACTGAGGAACAAGCCTTCTTGGCAGGTTTTGTACAAGCTATAAAATCATGAATTCATTCTTACTAATTGGTAACTCCAGTTTCTAAAAACTAGTCCCTGAAGAATAGATCACATCATAATAACTACATATGATGTTTCCAAGAAGCATACCTCACTGAATTGCTGGAACAAAACAGATGGCAAGAATTCCTGAGGGTGTAAATCAACTGGAGGCCCCGTCCAGTTACTCTGAACGAAGAGTTGCAAACTGCTCACACCAATTAGGAATATCAATTGTTGTCTGCATATAAAAATAAAGAAATAAATATGAACCACTGTATAAACACCATACTATTTCATTTCAGTTTTAATAAGCAAAATGTAAGATATCAACCAATATTTGAGATTATCCAAGAATATTACCAAAAAAAATTTCTGGCCCAGCTAGCATGGCTCAGTGGTTGAGCATCAATGATTCGATTCCCAATCAAGGCACAAGCCCAAGTTGTGAGCTTGATCCCCAGTGGGGGACATGCAGGAGCCAGCAATCAATGATTCTCTCTCATTATTGTTTCTAACTCTCTCTCCCTTTCTGGTTCTCTCTAAAATCAATAAAAGTATATTTTTTAAAATAAAAAAATATGATGTAAAATATTACTTAAAGATGAATAATTTAAAGATGAAATCAATAAAAATATGTATTTTTTTTTTTTAAAGAGCAGCACTAGAGAAAACAGTTGACCAAAGAGCTTGCTTCATTAGAAGTTTGGAAACTTGGGGAAAACAGGTGGTAGCAAGATCTTAAAGCCTTACTATAACCATCACAACCAAAATTCTAAATCCCTAAGGCCAAATGCATATACAGTTTAATTTCAAATTCTTCAAAATGAGGCAACTGAAATTTTTCTTTTCAGCTCTGCATGACAAGCTGGAATTCTGCTCCCCAGTGATTAGCATGCGTGTGTATGTTTTACCGCAAAGCCAGTTTCTATGAAACTGGCACATACTTCAGACAGCAAAATAAGAATCAGGACAGCCATTTCAGGAATGTAAATGGTAAATGTAAAGGGTAAACTACCAGTAAACCATAAAAATGAAAAGGAGTGATAGTAATCTTTAAAATGAAATAAAATGCCTAGAGAAACATTCTTTTGTGAACTCCCTTATGGATACAAATTATGTCTTATTTCTCTTCACAACCTCAACATTTAGTACAGAGGTCTGTTGAAGAAAAAAACAAAGCCATTGCCTAGAAATAATGGTAAAACAAAATTGTATGCATTTTAAAGAAAATTAAAACTTGATGCGGATGTCAACATAATAAAGAAAGAAGTATATTAACAAATTTACAACGGTAAAAATTAGGTTTCACTGCTGTGTAACTATTATACTTAATCCGATAAACTTATATCAACTTTAGTGGAAGAAAGTAAAACAAGGGTTCCATAATAAATGCATTGTTTTCTCATCTCTAGAAAGCTAAGTCTAAAACATGTTATTAAGTATCACTCAGTAACCTAGAAATAACAAAATGAACAGAATATATTTTCAAGTTAAAAGGAAATATGGTCTGAAGTCTTGTTTATAGGTAAAAACTATCAGACCTAAGCATTTGGAAGCTCAGTGAATTAGCAGTTACCATCCAACTACATGCCAATTGCATATACAAAACCCTTATATCCTACACCACTTTACTTTTTCATTCTAATGGTCCCCTGGACAGAAGCTAAGATCTTACATTGATTATTTGGTACACTATGAGCCCTAAATAAATATAAAGCTGGGTTATTCAATATCTGCTAAAATCAAAGCTCTATTAAATGTATTATGATGCACATTCTCTATGAAAAGTTCAAATAAAATTCTACCTTTGGGTTTTGTCCAAATCTGGTGAGAAATCCAGGAATGTTAATATCTGCTTCTCTAGGTAGCTGTCAATTTTTTCTTCAGTTATCTCCGTTGAATTAAAAATATTTTGAGTCAATGAATTCAAGAATATGGCCTCATAATTTCCTTCTATCAGCAATTGTAGGAATGATCCACTCTCTGTAATATAAAAAATTAGATCAATAATTCAAAAGAACAATTTTTTCATACTGTAAAAGGAAATACTCTTTAAATCCACCATTTTAGTATGCAAAAGAGTATCTATTTAGAATGCTTGCTGTACATTAATCAAAAAGCACTGAACCAATTCCCATCACTCTACAAACATTACTTCTCCTAGAATTAGCAGTTCATCTATAGTATATGATAAGTAGCAAAGTAGGCTTTAGATCCAGGAATAATATTCCTCGTTAATAAGTATTCTCATCCTTCTGAGGGGAATTCAAAGAAATTCCTACTAACAATGTAAAAGTTTCCATAGTCAGAGTTCTAAGACATTTCACAGCCTGGCTGCCCCTACACCCCTCTCCCCTACACTCTCTGAAAAAAAGCTGGTTCACTCATGACTCCTCTAGAATCTCATGCACATCCCCTCCTCCATCCTCTTACACTTGTGATTTCTCCTGCCGAGCTCTTCTCCACCTGTCAGTCTTATCCTTTAATCAAAAATCAGCTCAAGTCTTACTTCTTTCCCAAGAAACTGTTCCAGACAAGACTTCAGAAACTACCTACCCTGATGCACCTATTTTGTGTGTCCACACACGCACACCGCTTCTAAACTGTCATCAATGTGGTTTCTCTTCTGGGTCCAGCCTAAATGCCACAATCAGATGTGCCTCTATCCCACTAGTCTGTGTGCCTTTTAATTCTTCAACTCTCGGTTAAATCTGCATTGCTCAGAAGAAATCACAGCTTTTCTGCTCATGAAGCTGTGCAACCTTGAATGCATTCCTTAACCAACCCGGAGTGAAATATGCCTTCATCGGCAAACTTAACGTAGCATCTACCTTTCGTGTCTATTATAAAAATCAAACAACTAACCAAGAGAAAACAAACAAACAAAAAGATCAAAAAGACTAAACCCATGTCAGAAAAGCAGCTGATGTTGCCATGGTTATCATTTCTGAACCTGGGCGATGAGAAGTTTGGGGGAAGACCAGCTCTGAGAATGAGGGACACGCCCACACGTCAAGTAAGCAACAAACCCAGAGCCTTAAAGCAATCAACAAGATTTCGGCAGGAAAACAAAACAAGGCAAGGAGGGATAAGAACCCAGCCACTGCCACCCCTTCCTCCTCGCGGCCCGTCCCTGGCAAGGGCGCCTCGCTCACCGGAGCCGGCGACTCCCTGCTGCTTCCACTGCTGCCGCTCAGCCTCGGTGGAGAAGCCCCTCAACACGGCGAGCTCCGGGGCCCACATCGCCCCGGACATCGCCCCAGCCCGAACCGGTTACCAAACACGGCCACACAGAGTCACAAACGAAAGGGGGAAAGGGAAGGTCCACAGACGCCGAGGTCTAGCGGCGACAACTCTGGTGGAACCCCATGTGCTGATAACGGCCCGCGGAGGCGGCCATGACAGCCGCGCGGGGCACCCTGGGAAAAACGGACCCCGCACCAGCTTCCGCCTAGAAAGCCAACCCGAAGTCCCGGATACTGAGCATGCCCAGTAGGGTTGCCCCGCCCCGAGCGGGGAATGGACGGGATTGGAGGGCGCGGCCGACCTCAGCCCCGCCCCGAGAGGGGAATGGACGGGATTGGAGGGCGCGGCCGACCTCAGCCCCGCCCCGAGCGGGGAATGGACGGGATTGGAGGGCGCGGCCGACCTCAGCCCCGCCCCGAGGGGTCAGCCGCGGGATGCAGGATCGTGGGAGGCGTGGCGTCCTCAGGGGCCTCTCCCTGGGGACTGTGGTGTTCTGGTCCGATTGCCCTTCATTGGGAGGGCTACCGCTTTAATTCCCAAACCTTCTTGTGTCTGAAGGCTCCTCGCTACCTGATGAAAGACGTAGTTCTCTCTGCAAAATGCACGTGGGCCTGGACTACCAACATCCATGGAAGTGAGAGCCCCTTGGAGGTTAAGCACCCCGGCCGCAGAGAAAAAGTATTCTCTTCATGAATTAAAAGTGTTATTTGTTTTGACGTTGCCGCCACATAAATTATGCCCTCATGGGGACGCCTGGCCAGCCGCTGATGCAGGGGAGTTTGGGGAGGATGAACTGAACGCTGCAGAAACCTGCCATCCTGCGTGCCTGCTGCTGCTCAGCACAGGGCCTTTCATCGTCACAGCAGAGCTCCTGGAGGGACTGTGCCCCTCCTCCCACCCCCGCCTCGGTGGACTTGGGGCCTGCACTGGGATGCCACCGGGAGAAACCTGCAGGGTAAGCCTCACCACACAGGATTCATGGAAGAATTTAGGGCAATGCATCTCCGGAATGATCCCACTCCGAGGAAAGAACAATTCTTTTTTAAAAATTAATCCCCTCCACCTTCTCCCCCACCCCTGCTATCATGGCGCAGTGATTGAGCTTTGACCTAGAGGTTGCAGGCTCCAACTCTAGTGCTGGGAGTGCAGGAGGCAGCTGATCAAGGATTCTCAGCATTGATGTCTCTCCCCCTCTCCCTTCCTTTCTGAAATATATATAATCTCCATCCAATAGTATCTAATGTGGTGCCATCAACTCGAACTCTCCTTTTGCTCTCTTGTGTCTGGAACTTCTTTCTCCCTGTCTAATTTTTTTATTCTCACCCCTCAAGACTCTGGATATGTTTCTTCAGGAAGTGTTCCCTGACCATGTCACCTTAGTGCCCATCATTTACCTGAGGTAGTTTTCCCTCCTCTGTGCTCCCAACAGTACCCTGCAACCAACACCATCAGAGAACTTACCGTACTGCACTGACATTGTACTTTCATGTGTCATTCAACTCTCCCCTGCAGGAACCCGTACGACTGTGTATATGGAGTGGACCTTGTAGTACTGGTCTTGTTACTTTCCTTTTTTGTAAAATAGTATTCTGAGGACTAACGGTGTAGAGTGGAGAAAATGATGGAAGCTTATTTTAATGACCAAGACTCATAATTGGGGGAAAACACATAACACAGCAGCTTTTATTCTCCACCCTGATGGGACCCTGGCAGACCAAACAATAACAAAGGTTAAAGGATTAATGACTGTTGTTTTGCCTTTTACTACTGATAATTTTATACTTAGATTTTAGCTATCATGCCTGTCGTAAATGACTTTATAAATGGATTCTCTTGTCATTCTTGGAGTAGCTCACCACCCACCAGACCTAACACTGTTTCAGAACCTTTGCTTTCCTGGTCACATACCGTTTGTCCTTCCTTTATTATAAGGAGCTCTGTACCTTGTAGTTCCCCTTTTTTCAGAGAGCAACTCACTGTTCAGAGTATGTCTTCTGGTTAGCTCCAGACTCAGGATTCCTATGTGCCACTTTATCCTACCTAATAAAAGAGAAACATGCAAATTGACCATACCTTCACTTTGCCCACAAGTCATGCCCACCAGCCAGTCAGGAGCAAGTATGCAAATTGACCCAACAATTGCATCAGCAGCCAACGGAGCTGGAGCCAGCCAGAGGCTAAAGTTGCCCCAGCAATGGAGAAAGCCAAGTTTCCTACCCGTCCTGGCCTCTGCTCAAGGCTACTAAGTTTCAATTATACAAGATAAATAAATCCCAAAAAATGGCAGCATTCCATGAAGCTGGAAAACAGGAGGCTTAGGTTTCCCCCAGCAATGGAGGAAGCCAAACTTCCTGCCTACCCTGGCTCAAGGCTAGTTTTAATTATAGAAGATAAATCCCAGATACCAGGACCTCTGCTTGGGTCACTGGTGGGGGGACATGACCGACCTGCAAACCACCACAGCCCCCTGGCCTGGGGCACCCATGCACCAAGGGAACACTCACCCTGATCCGGGACACCCTTCAGGGCAAACCAGGCGGGCCCACCCATGGACCAGGTCTCTATCCTATCTAATAAAACAGTAATATGAAAATTGACTGTCATTCCAACACAAGATGGCTACCCCCATGTGGACACAAGATGGCCACCACAAAATGGCCAGCAAGGGAGGGTGGTTAGGAGGGACCAGGCCAGCAAGGGAGGGCAGTTGGGGGCAATCAAGCCTGCAGGGAGGACAGTTTGGGGTGACCAGGCTGGCAGAGGAGGTAAGTTGGGGGCAACTGGGCCTTCAGGAGAGAGCAGTTGGGGGCAGGGGAAGGAGTACCAGGCCTGCAGGGGAGGGTAGTTGGGAGGACCAGGCCTGCAATGGAGGGCGGTTGGGAGTGATCAGTCCTTCAGGGAGTGAAGTTAGGGGCGACCAGGCCTTCAGGGGAGGGCAGTTAGGGGTGACCAGGCCTGCAGGGGAGGGCAGTTAGTGGCAATCAGGCTGGCATGGGAGTGGTTAGTGGGTGATAAGGCTAACAGGCAGAAGCAGTTAGGGGCAATCAGGAAGGCAGGCAGGTGAGCAGTTGGGAGCCAGCAGTACTAGATTATGAGAGGGATGTCCCAGATTGGAGAGGGTGCAGGCTGGGTTGAGGGATACACACACCCCTGCATGAATTTCGTGTACCAGGCCTCTAGTTTTATATAAATACTGTCAAAATTTATCACTTTAGCTTTTCCTTTGTGATAATTGGTCTTATAAAAATATTATTTTCTTTCCAATGTTTAGGTCTCAAAAGTGTCCAATTCTTTGTGTCCAAGTATTTCACACACAGCAAACTGTTTTAGAAATAAGACATACTAACACACCTAAGTCTTTATTTATTTGGCTCTAGAAAGTGTTTGCATTAAAATGAGCCTATGTGGCAAGTACAAAATGTACTGTAACAGCACCAGAGAGGTACCACCTCTCTGCTCTACAGAGCCTGTGTTTAATGCATACAGGTAACTTCAGTAATAAAACCAGAGTCCAGGAAGAAAAGGAGCCCTTTAGGAAAAAAATCAGTTTAAGGGTGACTTTTCAAATTAACCATTCCTTTCATATACTTAAGTTCAAATAACAAATACATTCACAAGCCCAAATATTGGCATAGAATAAAATCATGTTCATTTATTTTTCTGCAATTAGAAGGCATAAAATTAAATATGTTGAATAAATTCATCCATACAAGTGCAAGTGTCCAACTATAACACATTTTAATGGCAGATTTATAATTTAAAAAATGTACCAGTAAATCAAAAAAGGAGTATGTCAATTAACTTTTATTGAAGTGTACGTAGGTCTTCAGAAATCAAATATGAGCATGAAGATATGGCCAAACATAAAATCTATCAAATTCAGTGAAAAGTTGCTGACTTCAAATAGTAGTTGTAAGAATGACCAATATATATTCTTTGTTAACAATCTCTCACTCTACAGTAAAAAAAAAAATAAAATAAACATTCAGTAAACATTCTTTCCTAAGGTAGTTTCCCTTATATATCAGTGATTTATCCATTTCTTTGTATACACAAATTTGTTCAACATACCAATCAGTGGTTCTCACAATTGAAAAATAAAAGCACAAAAAAGTTTACACTCTTGTACAGGTAAATAAAAGATCACCTTGAATTAAACTGGATCTCCTTAAGGGCATAGTATAGTTTCAGTTTCATTACCTATTACATAATTAGTTTCTTACATACAAATATTGACATATTTGGCTTGTGCTTCAAAGCCTTTGTGTCTATGAAGTCCATGTCAATGCAGCTCATAATTTGAAGTCACTGGGGAGTTCTTTACTGCTGCTGGGTTTGACCTGATCGTGCATGAGCGTCCCCTCAGCACCTGCTGTGGCACTGCACATTTCCGAGGCGTCTTCAACATCAGGGTCCAAGCCGTCCGGACAGGGAAGTTTTAGCAGCTCTTCCCGTAGCTGAGCAGTGTGACGCTACACAGGGAAATGAGTGATGTCAGAAGTGCAACCCAAGGAATTCTAACACAGTATCATTTGAGGGAAGAGTTAGGTTTAAAACGAAATCCAAAGCACAGGCCAACAAGTACTTATTGCGCATTTTTCTTATGCTACTGTCACAGAGCGAGAACAAAATTGGCAAAACATCTCAGAGTGATTGATGTTGAAGAGCCCTGAGTAGCATGGTAGAATGCAAGTTACATGGCAAAAGGTTAGCGAGAGGGTAGGGTTTTACAATGGAAGCCAGAAGTATTTATTGCTCTAGTTTGATAAAAAGAGAAACAGTTCTATAATAATGGGCAAAATAAAACTAGCTTGGGGAATGCAAATGTTAAAGAGGAAAATAGTTTTCTTTCTAGAAGTTTTTAAAATAGAAATCTTAAAGTTAGAACAGAAGGATCCACTAGAGATGGAGAAAAATTGAAGATAGGAAGAGGGAAGATAATTGGCGAAGAATGAAAGAAACGGGGGGAATAAGAACAAATAGTATGAGGCTGGAGAAAAAAATCTCCAAAACCACCCTATTTTACATGTCCACTTGAATGTCCAGGTTGAAAACAATTGCTCACCTCCCCCAAAACAGGTCTGTATAACAGATGCCTCCACCAAATAGCTGTTGGAGGTTCTACCGCTACCATCTCCCTCATTACTCCAAGTAATAAAATTCTAGAAGGTAAATAAATGGCCTAAGGAGAAGCTA